TCACGAATGAGCGCCGGCACATCGGTAAAGGCACGGCTGTGGCGTACCTCGAAGAGCTGGACTGCTCTCACGACTGCCTTCTAATGCAAGGGGAAGCCACAGCTCAATCACCTCCACATACACCACCAGTTGATATTGGTCCGAGTCTAACACCGACTGAAAGTTGCCGTCTTATGGAGCTGCTCGACCAGTTCAAGGACTGCTTCTCATCGACATCACGAGTGGGTCGAACGCCTCTGACTAAGCATCGTATAATTACGGAGGACACAGCGAGACCGATCCGACAGAACCCTTATCGCGTCGCTCAGAAAGAAGGTGAGGTAATCCAGCAGCAAGTCAAGAAGATGCTAGAGGGTGACGTTATCCAACCATTAAAAAGTCCTTGGGCATCGCCAGTGGTACTCGTGAAAAAGAAAGACGGCAGCTTGCGTTTCTGCATCGATTATGGTGAGCTGATCCATGTTACAAAAAAAGACGTTTATCTATTACCACGGATCGATGACTCTTTGGACAGGCTACGGCATGCATGCTACTTCTCGTCAATGGACCTTAAAAGTGGATACTGGCAAATAGAAGTAGATGAGCGCGACCGAGAAAAGACCGCCTTCGTGACGCAAGACGGGCTTTATGAATTCAAAGTCCTCCCTTTCGGTCTATGCTCAGCCCCAGCCACGTTTCAGAGACTAATGGATACCATTCTGTCCGGCCTGAAATGGAAAACATGCCTTGTGTACCTCGACGACGTGATCGTTTTTTCGGCCACGTTTGAAGAGCATCTACAGCGGCTACTGTCAGTCCTTCAAGCCATACGGTCCGCTGGACTCACACTCAAACCAGAAAAATGCCACTTCGGCTTCGAAGAACTCCAGTTCCTGGGACACGTGATCAGTCGCGAAGGTGTGAAGCCTGACCCAGATAAAACAGCAGCCGTCGCAAAGTTAGCAAGGCCTGTTCATAAGAAAGCGGTCAGGCGTTTTCTGGGTCTCTGCGCCTACTACCGGCGATTTATAGCAGGCTTTGCACACATCGCCTCTCCACTCACCCGCCTTACAAGGGAAGACATCGCATTTGTATGGGGTGAAGAGCAAGAAGCTTCACTCAACGAGCTGAGACAGCGTCTACAAACTCCACCTGTCCTCGCTCACTTCGACGAGAATGCACCAACAGCCATCCATACAGACGCCAGCAATGTGGGCCTAGGTGCTGTTCTTGTCCAATGCCAAGATGGTGTGGAGAGAGTGGTTGCCTACGCTAGCAGAACGTTGACACGCGCCGAGTCCAACTACTCAACAATGGAGAAGGAGTGTCTGGCCGTCGTTTGGGCAGTTGCGAAGTTCCGCCCGTACTTATATGGCCGCGCTTTCCAAGTCGTAAGCGACCATCACTCTCTTTTTTGGTTGACCAACATGAAAGACCCATCTGGACGTTTAGCACGATGGAGCTTACGGCTCCAAGAGTACGACATGGCCGTAGTTTACAAGTCCGGAAGGCAACACTTAGACGCCGACTGTTTGTCAAGGTCACCGATTGAATCACCGGCTATAGAGGATGATGATTTCCCAGGTTTTTTAGGAGTTGTTGATGCAGCTATCATTTCTCGGCAACAACAAGATGATCGGGAGCTCAACTCGCTTATAGAATTCTTGAACGGACGAGCCGCCAATGCACCAAGAGTGTTTTCGAAGAACTTATCGTCATTCTGTTTACGGGACGGAATTCTGTACAAAAAGAACTTTTCATCAACAGGTAGAAGCTATCTGCTGGTAGTTCCTGGAGCTCTCCGCAGCGACATTTTACAAGCCTGCCATGACGAAGCCGCTGCGGGCCACCTCGGTTTCACACGAACACTGACACGCATCAAAGAAAAATATTACTGGCCAAGAATCGCAGCAGAGGTTAAACATTACGTCCGAACGTGCATTGACTGTTAGCGGCGCAAGGTACCACCTGTCAAACCCGCTGGACTATTACATCCTGTGCCCGTGCCAGAAACCCCATTTTCTCAAATCGGAATGGATCTGCTGGGCCCATTCCCAACATCGGACAGCGGCAACAAATGGGTTATAGTGGCGACGGACTACCTCACACGATACGCGGAGACCAAGGCAATCGCGAGTGGCACTGCAGCTGAAGCGGCTCAGTTCTTCATTGAGAACATTGTTCTGGGACATGGTGCTCCAGCTGTCGTCATAACAGACAAAGGTACCGCGTTTACAGCCGAGCTTTTGCGCACTGTGCTTACGCTCAGTGGCACAGCGCATAGAAAGACGACAGCTTACCACCCACAAACTAATGGGCTTACAGAACGACTTAACAAGACAATCGCTGACATGCTTTGCATGTACGTCGACGTAGAACACAAGAATTGGGACCGAATATTGCCGTACATCACATTCGCGTATAATACGGCGCGCCAGGAAACAACAAAAATGACGCCGTTCGCACTAATTCATGGCAGAGAAGTTACGACAATGCATGACGCCATGCTGCCTTACGATTGCAATGATTCAGAGACAGACGCCGCAGACTTCACTGAGCGCGCCGAAGAAGCAAGGCAGCTTGCCCGCGTCAGAATAATGAACCAGCAGCAACTTGACGCCCAAAGATACAACCTTCGCCATCGATTCGTCATTTATCAACCAGGAGATAGAGTCTGGATTTGATTTCCTGTACGACGACGAGGCCTCTCAGAGAAACTTCTACGCCGATACTTCGGACCCTACAAGGTTCTGCGTCGTCTTAGCGACGTGACGTACGAAGTCGTGCCCGACGCCTCCTCTTGTTCAAAACGTCGCCAGCATCTGCCTTAGACAGTGCACGTGGTCCGCATGAAACTTTATCACTCTCAGTGATGTAAACACTCGATGGCCACATCTCTACTTGTTGAGCGTCGGGACGACGCTCACTCTGGCGGGAGGGTAATGCCGCGTGCATAGCTGCATTTAGCGACGACAACGAAGAACGCGGATTTGCTCGAGAGGCGCAGCGCAGCAGAGTGAAGAAGACGACAATCTTAGCGGCCTTCTCTGAGAGCGTCTCTACAAGTCCTACTGTCCGTGTTTTTAAATAAACCCCCTGTCATTTATAACCCGCGACAATACTAAAATGGCTACGAGGGACGAATGGGTGCCGCTATAAAAAGCTGCGCCCCTAAAAAAAAGCAGACACGCAGGAAGATGCAGGACTTACAACTGAAGTAAATGAAAGATCGTATTCCTCAGAACATCGCGAAGCATGTCTGAAAAGCCTACAAAAGAATCATGTGAACTTACTATCTAACATGCTCCCAATCCCCTTTTTTATTGTCATCTTGACTGACCTTAACACGTGCACTACATTTAAATACATGAAAAAACTACGTTTTCCTGTGCAGTCGATACATGAAGGTCTGATAAAGATAAAAAAATAAATATGAGGTGTTGTAGAGTGTCAGATTGTGTGACGACACACAAACAAAGCGCGAAAACTTTCGTAATGTAGTCAAAAGTACTCTGTGAAACTAGTTCACCCGAGTAGTGAGTGCGAGGAAAAAATTATGTGAGACGTAAAATAGGAAATATCACATAGTGTCGTAATATTTTCAAGCACCGGGAACATTACTGCGGAAGCCCATAATCACCAGACAGTGGAAACCAACAGGCTAGTGTTAACTGGGTGCATGGTGGCCAGTGTGCATGTAATATATATGCTTGTGGATTCATTCCGAGTGAATGGGGAGATTTCGTTTTTGCTCCTTTCTTCCTATGGGGTACTGCACGTCATAAGTACCACAGTAGAATGCTACAAGCGACATTGTTTACAAACTAACGTGAATGAATTTATTAGCAAGCAGAGCCCTTACTTGGCTAAGAAGGAATGCACTTAACAGTACCTTATTTTGGGCCAGTTAGTGCATCGTTACGTGAAAGATGTGGTGCAAGCTTGAAAACGAGAAGAACGGAATTGAGACACAAAGAATGCTCCTTCTGCGCCATCTTCGTTCTTCGTGCCACGTCTTTCAAGGTCCACTTAATAATTTGCCCATCTTTAGCGCACAATGGGACATAAATGTCACACTGAAATTCAGCGTGCTTATGAGAAGGGCGATGCGCGCTCCCATTCTCTCTATATTCCGGCAGGTGTTGTCGTTCGCATTTTGACAACAGCAGAGGAGAGAACACATGCCAAAGCAACTTGCTGTACCTTTTGTTTGAGACATTCGAGCTCTCCTGAGTGACGAATCAATTGAGGGCTCAAGAAGTCAAGTAGAGTACTTGCCGATTGCGCTTTTTTTTCCTTTGAAGTAATGAACCAGCTAGCCCCTCAAGACGTCTTGATCAAGTACAGTAGATGCCTAAGCGCGCCTCTTGTCAAGAAAATAAATAACCGTTTCCGAAGACCCTGAAGTCAAATTGAAAGTTTCATGGATACAAGATTAGATGTTGCCTCATCTAGCGCAACGCTGCTGATGATGTGTCTGAGTGTGGGGAGAGGGAGGGAAAGGCGCACATATTCACAAATCAGATTAGTGAAGACTGCTCACAGCTACCATTCAATTGGCAGTGCTACTTCTTTCTTAGTGAAAACATCTGCCAAATACGTCAATAAGTCTTCACCAGTCCGTCTTTTCCATTCATCATTATCATAACCCAGTCACAATAACGCATGTATACGTCGGATAAGTTGCTGAACGTAAACACAGCGTGGTTTCGCATTCAGTGCAAGTAAGATGGCTGAGGCCTTCTGAAATATCTACCTTTATGTTGTATAGGTTTTGATGACCAAGTACCGATATATCTACACTGAAATGTTTGTCAGGTTTTCTAAATACGAAGACCATTTTTCAAGTAAACCTTCCCAGTTAGCAAAATCATTATTGCCTTCAGTCATATGCACGTCATACTCACGAGAAATTTGATAAGACATTATGAGTAGCAAGCGCACTTACTAGACCAGTGTGGATTTCATTCATAATGTGGATTTCATAGTGCTGCATCGAAATACATCTCTTTATCTTTCAGAAGAAACGCTACGTTTGATTTGGAAGAAGGAGATGCCATTGACAAGCTTAACTACTTCATCAACAATGGTGGGTTGTTGGTGGGCTGCTTGGCTATCACCAAAGTTTCCCTGTCACACTACGAGAAACATTTGCTACAACTAAGGAAAATTCGCCTTCTTTAAACATTCCCTTTTATATGTGACTAATGAAGTCAAAATCTGAGCTCCGTAGGTATAATGTAATTGTTTTGTGTCTTGAAAGTTGTGTTATTATGCACTACTGTAATGAGCAGAGTCTATCAGGCTGAATGCATAGATGTTGTTTGAGCAATATTTTTATTATTATTGCAAGAACTTGGCCAACAACGGCTCTTTCTCTGTTGGTATTTTTGTGAAGTCATGTGCACGTTAAAGGACTCAGGTGTTTTAATGGCTTGGAAAAGTAACGGTCTTTTATCAGGCAGTGCATTGTGTTTATTTCCACCCTGCCCATGTATGTCTAAATGTACAGTACTCTGTAACTGATTGATTGAGAGACGATTATTTTTCGTTTTACCGAATAAACAGCCAGTCCTCTTATGTTTCAGATCGGACGCACCCTTACAGTGCCCACGTCATCTACAGCGACTACAACGCATGTGTTGTCCTTCAAATGTCTTTCTTAGGTCACGAACGTAAGCTCAGTTTTCAATACAGAGCCACTAGCATCATCTTTCTTTTTTAAATTGGAGCTATCATGTTTTTAAAATCATGACATTACGTGTTCGCACCGCCTATCATCATCCCCTATGGCCTCGTCCTTTTAGCGCCTTAAGCGCAATAACTCTTTCGGCATGCAACTCCTCATTCATTTTTCAACCTGTGGGAGCACACTGCATAAATGTCTCTTCTAGAAAGATGCCGTGGCGTCACTAGAAGCGCTGCCATGAGTTTGCATCACTTTCCGAGGGATGGCGCGAGGTTTCCTATCTTGCTTTCTCAAGGGGCTTGGGTGATAGTGGGCGCATGCGAACGTTTGTTGCAAAAGACCACCGCTAAGATTATCAGCTCCTGCCCTTATTAAAAATGACGAAGAAGGGAAACGAAGGGCAGCAGTTTTCTAGAAAAGGCGTTGCCTGGCCACGCGCTTCCGCAGCACCGATTTGGTATAGCGTGGGATGCGATAACTCGGATGGGCAAGAGATCAAGTACAGGGAGAGAGAAAGAAAAAGAGAACGAGAAAATTCTTGAAGTAGGTTTCCTGGCAAGGCAAGATTTGAACCCTTGCATTCACAATTTGAAGCCTAGCATCGTGACTACTCGTATTCAGCCATGCTATCAGAACAATATATAGCATACAGAAGGGCGCGATTAGTGAATTTCGGAACTTAATTGAATACACATCGATACGGCTACAGTTATAGCCTCCACCTTCAGTTATTAAAATATGGGAACTGATTAGTTAGTACGATGCAACAGCAGAAGTTGTAAGGACTGAATTTTCAGGAAAACAAATGCCTGCATTTGGTAATCACTGTAACAAATGTAGTCTCGTAAACGCTTAAGCAGAGCACACATTGACAATTTAGAATATACTTTTAAAAAATGAGCTCCCGCTATTACTAAGTTTCGTTTTTTAGGTGTTGTTACGTCAGTGCTGATTACTCTAAAACTATTAGAAAATAATCTGTACTTTCGATTACACCGATTGATTAGAGTGTGCTATTGAATCGAATAGTATGCTACATAACTTCTTATTCAAATTTTTGAAATATTTGTACACACCTAATAGTATATAGTATAGTATAGTGCAGTGTGGTGAAGTATAGTATGCTATGATATAGCACAGTGTTCTATATTCTAATATAGGAAGGCGTGGGAGGTAGAAGTGATTGTGAGAAGGAAGAAGAAAACGAGGATAGAAGACAGTAAAGCACAGTACTGCATAGATAGAAATAGAAAAAGAGAAGTATGAAAAAAGAAAAACAGCAATATGTTTAAAGACAGCGACAGAATGAATGAAATGAATACGAATACATTAATTTCTATTTCGCTCTACACACACCAACACATACACACGCATATATATATATATATATTGCTACGGGGCGCCACAAATGAACATTGTAGAAAAGAGGACGATGTTCAGGGCGAGCTCGTGCAGACCGGGCTCCATATTGTATGCCTGCCTGTTTACCGAAAGTAAAGGCATTTTTAAGACGCCTTCTCCCCGTAACATTTTGGTGGAGAGTGCGGGTCTTTCCACAGTCAACACCACGACGATTCTACGCAGCGGACGTTCCTTGGCTGCCTGTGCGATGCCTGATCAAGACGAACACGAGGATTCTTCGGAGACTACCCCAACCGTGCTTCGTCCAACTACGCAGCAACCAACAGCACCGCATCCAGCTGCAACTAACCGCACCGTCGTCCTGACTCAACCGCGTGACCCAGGCACATTTTCGGGCAGTGACAGTACCGACGTGGAGGAATGGCTTCAGCTGTACGAAAGGGTGAGCGCTCTTTACAACTGGGATCCGACGCTCATGTTGGCCAATATTATTCTCTACCTTGACGGTACAGCTAAAGTTTGGTTTTCCAACCACGAGGAAGATATCACGAGTTGGGACATCTGTAAACAGAAACTCATCGATCTCTTCGGCAAGCCCATCGGGCGTCGTCGTGCTGCGCAAAAAGAACTAGCATCCCGACTCCAGTCCGGCACCGAGTCATACGTCACATACATACAGCATGTGCTCGCCCTCTGCCGGAAGGTTGATGACAAGATGCCGGAATCGGAAAAGGTCGCGCACATCCTCAAAGGAATCGCCGATGACGCCTTTAATCTCCTCGTATTTCGCAACTCATCGACCGTAGACGACGTTATCAAAGAATGCCGACGCTTTGAAGACGCGAAAAGTCGCCGTATCACTCCACACTTTTCACGTCTTCCCAACACGGCTGCAACATCAACCTGCGAGGACGCCCGTTTGGCACCAGCCCCTGCTGCTTCCGACAATATCGTGCGCATTGTGCGCCACGAAATCGAGGCAGCATCTCCCCTGTCTGACCAAGTCGAGGCCCCTGACGATTCTCGCGCCACGATTTCTTTAATCAAGAGTGTCGTACGCCAGGAACTGGCCAACGCCGGACTTCAGACGCTATGCCCCGTTAACCGACCTGACTACCGATTGCCCAGTACACCTAATATGTCCCGCGGACTGAACAACCGCCCACGTTACCGGAACCCGGCAGAATGGCGAACTTCCGATGACAGGCCGATCTGCTTCAACTGTGGACGAGTGGGCCATATTTCACGTCATTGCCGCACTTCCTGGGGTTGGCAGCCATGGTCGCATTATGCCAACACCCGACGCCCCGCTTCTGGCTCTCGGATGCCGATCTACACGGCACAAGATGATGCTTCGCCATGCAGGCCCGCCCGACCAAGCCGCTCCCCGTCGCCCTCTGGACGCATGTCCCGCTCAACTAACCGACGTCGCTCCCCCTCACCCTCCTACCACCAGTCCTCGGAAAACTGACGGGCGCAGCTCCTAGAGGTGAGCCTGCTTCAACGACCCGACCCAAAATTCCTCTACAAACGATACCCGGACACAACAACTTGATTAAAGTAAATGTTGACGGTACTTCTGTGGCAGCACTCATTGACACCGGCGCTCACATATCAGTCATGAACTCCAACCTTTGTGCTCGACTCAAGAAAGTGCTCACTCCTGCTCCGATCACTCTTGTCCGAGTAGCTGATGGTGCAACACCAGCGGTCACCGGGATGTGTGCCGCCCGTGTCACTGTTGCTGGACGTCATACCACTGTTCTGTTTTACGTACTGGACCACTGCCCACATGACATCATACTGGGACTCGATTTTCTGTCGGAGCATTCCGCCCTAATTGACTGTTCTGCTGGTGTTGTTCAACTTGTCCTACCACACGCCGTTGACCCTCCTGATCCTGCGCCGCCAAAGCTATGCTCCGCCGACTTTGTTCGCCTATCTTGTCGAGCTGTGACGTATATCGACGTCTCTTCTGATCCACCTGTGGCTGACGGCGATTATGTCATTTCGCCTAATCCTACAGTACTCTGTTCGCTCAATGTTACGTTCCCCCACACCATCATCACAATGAAGAACAACGTGGCATGTCTCCCTATTGTAAACTTTGGACTTTGCCCTGAAGTGCTGCCACGAGGAATATCCCTTGCAACCCTTGCCCCGGCCGGCGACTACCACATATCGGCCCTAACAGAGGATACACTGTCATCTGCAAGTATTCAGTCGCGTAGTACACTAGACTGCATAACTGGAATGATTGCCTCTGATCTCCCGGCAGAGCATGTGTCTGCGCTTCGTGGCCTTCTTGCGTCGTATCAAGACGTCTTTGATTTCTGCGACCGACCCCTAGGTCAAACGACCGTCGTAAAGCATCGGATCAACACCGGTGACGCAAATCCAGTACACCGGCGACCCTATCGAGTTTCCTCCACCGAGCGCCACGTGATCCAGCAAGAAGTCGACAAGATGCTTGCCCGAGACATCATTGAACCTTCTTCAAGTCCTTGGGCTTCGCCCGTTGTGCTTGTGAGAAAGAAGGATAACAGCTGGCGCTTCTGTGTCGACTACAGCAATCTTAACAAGGTTACAAAAAAAGACGTGTATCCTCTGCCGCGGATAGACGACGCTCTTGACTGCCTTAGTGGAGCAAATTATTTCTCTTCCATCGACCTCCGTTCCGGGTACTGGCAGATATCAGTTGATGATCTGGACCGTGAAAAGACGGCATTTATAACTCCCGACGGGCTCTATCAGTTCAAAGTAATGCCGTTCGGGTTATGCAATGCCCCAGCTACATTCGAACGAATGATGGACGCTCTTCTTCACGGTTTCAAGTGGTCAATCTGCTTATGTTACCTTGATGACGTCATTGTTTTTTCGCCAACTTTCGAAACTCACCTCGAGCGTCTCTCAACAATTCTTTCGGTTTTCCGCAAAGCAGGGCTCCAACTAAACTCGTCCAAATGTCACTTCGGCCGCCGGCAGCTCACTGTCCTTGGACACCTTGTCGATTCTTCTGGTGTTCGTCCCGATCCTGAGAAAATCCGTGCCGTCAAAGATTTCCCTGTGCCGACCTCTGCGAACGATGTTCGAAGCTTCGTGGGCCTTTGTTCCTACTTTCGTAGATTTGTGCGGAATTTTGCTGACGTCGCACGACCACTCACGGAACTACTAAAAAAAAATGTGACTTTTGTGTGGGGACCTGAACAAACCAGAGCATTCGTTGAACTGACGAGTAGACTTACGACGCCACCGATTCTCGGCCACTTTGATATATGCGCTCCAACGGAAGTGCGTACCGACGCCAGCGGCCACGGAATCGGAGCCGTTTTGGCACAACGACAGCATGGCTGCGAGCGCGTTATTGCATACGCTAGCCGTCTTTTATCGCCAGCAGAGCGAAATTACTCCATCACAGAACGCGAATGCCTCGCACTCGTCTGGGCAGTGGCTAAATTTCGGCCGTATTTGTATGGACGCCCGTTCACGGTTGTCACTGATCACCACGCCTTATGCTGGTTGTCGTCCTTAAAAGATCCTTGTGGACGTCTCGGCCGGTGGGCTCTACGGCTACAGGAATATTCCTACACGGTTGTCTACAAATCAGGTCGCCACCATGAGGAT